AGCTCCTTAGCCTTTGTTTCTCCTGACACTGACATTTTAAAGAAATTATATCTCACAATTTAGATTTGTTTCCTCACTGATTTAGGTTTGGGCTTTGGGACTGGATACTATGTAAGAAATGTTAAGTTCTTTTCGAGTGACCGCATCCAGAAGAGCATGATATCTGCCCCTTATTAATAAAAATGTTATCCATGTTTTTCTACCCTGTTATGTTTTTTGGGGGGTTACAAATTATTAAGTAATTTGTGGGTAGATACTTAGAGACTAGGTAAGTGCTTTGTTCCTCACCAGATACCTCCCTTTCCCTCTGCATGATTTAGCATCTATTGATGATTCTTGCGAGAATTAGCTTTTACTATTTTATAGTTGCAGAATGGTGACTTTCCACATCTACTACCATATCAGTATGGTTGTGATGATTAGTGGGTTTAGGGCATGTCAGCGCCTTTCACAAAATGTATCTGTTATAAAGTTCCCAGTCTTTCTTTCACCTAATAGTGTTGATTAGATAAAACCACTGATTCTAAGTGCCTCAAGCAGCTAAGGCAACAGTCACATACACCTAAGCTGGGGGATTCGAATCCAGCCGTGGCCTGCCAAACAACAATGACAGCTACAACCAAAAAATAGCCTGGTGTTGTGGCGGGCACCTGTAGTCTCAGCTACTTGGGAGGCAAAGGCAGGAGAATCACTTGAGCCCGTGAGTTGGAGGTTGCTGTGAGTTGTGATGACACTGCATTCTACTCAGGGCCACAGCTTGAGGCTCTGTCTCAAAACAAACAAACAAACAAAAAACTCCACTCATACAGTTGACTAGGTTTGTTATTTCATTAGGAGCTGCACATAATGCTTTTTCTAAATTACGGTGCTCAGTAAATGCTATGGGCTATTATCATCACTCTCATCTTGGGACTGTTCTTATTTGTCATTGATATCTTAATAGACATGGAGATAAGATTAGAAATCTTGACATCAACAAGTATCAAGCAGAAAAGACCCTGGCCACGAGTCTCCTGGTTGGGACAGGTATGTTTTTCTTTTTTCATGCAAACCAGTATTATATATGTTGCATGTGTATTTTGTCCATAAGATATAAGCATGTTATATAGTTTTCAGAAGTAAAATATCTTTTGAAGGATCACCTGCCTGCACACTGAATAAGGTTTTTTGTATGTTTAGTTTTTATTATAATAAGCAAGTTAATTTTTCCAGAAAGTTAAATGGTCTGTCTATAACAGTGGTTCTCAACCTTCCAAATGCCATGATGTATTTTCATTGTTACAAAGGGGTCACCACCAACAGGTTGAGAACCACTGGTCTAGAAGAAGACTTTTACAGTAAAAAAATTTGAATAGGTTGACATTGGAATAGTTGATCTCCTGAACATTACCCCACCAGAACAGTCATTGGAGTGTTTCCTTCTTTTGTGGTTTTCATGAGTGTGCTAGAAAGTGTCCATAGAAGTTGAACAGAAGAGATGAGCCACAATGTGTTAATAATCAGGAATGCCATTCACAATATATGGGAAAGATTCCTCACTTAGGGAAAGTGGGAAAACCCATAATACCCTCTTAGAATTTGTAATGCTTATTGGAAAAAAGTATCAAATTTCCAGTTAGAATTTCTGCCACTAATTAAGTGCCCTGGAAAAGGAGTTTTCAAGCTTCAACATGCATCAGAATCATCTGGAGAGGTTAGGTTGTTAAAGCATAGATTGCTGGGTCCCACTCCCAGAGTTTCCAATTCAGTAGGTCTGGGATGATGTTGGATAATTTGTTGGGGGGGTTTTGTTGTTGTTGTTTTTCTTTTCTTTTTTAATTAGTTAATTTTTTTCTTTTTTTTTTTTTAAAGACAAGTTCTGCTCTGTCACCTAGGCTGGAGTGCAGTGGCTCATTCAATTCACTGCAACCTCAAACTTTTGGGGTTAAGTGATCCATCCTCCTGCCTCAGCCTCCTGAGTAGCTGGGACTGCAGAGGAGCACCACTATCTGCCTGGTTAATTTTTCTCATTTTTAATTTTTTTTGCAGTTTTTGGCTGGGGCTGGGTTTGAACCTGCCACCTCTAGCATATGGGGTTGGCATCCTACTCCTTTGAGCCACGGGCACTGCCCTCATTTTTTATTTTTTATTTTAGAAATGGGGTATTGTTATATTGCCTAGACTGGTTGTGAATTCCTGGCCTCAAGTGATCCTCCTTCCTCAGCCTCCCAAAGTGCTGGGATTATAGGTGTGAGCCACCATTGGCTGATAATTTTTTCTCCTTATTGTTCTTTTTCTGACATACCTAAGGCAATTTGTATTTCTAAGAGGCTCTCAAGTATTTTTTTTTTTTTTTGAGACAGAGTCCCACTTTATCACCCTGGATAGAATGCCATGGTATCGTAGCTCACAATAACTTCAAACCTTTGGGCTTGAGCAATCCTCTTGTCTCAGCCTCTTAAGTAGCATACAGGCATGCGCCACTATACCTGGCTAGTTTTTCTGTTTTTAGTAGAGATGGGGTCTTGCTCTCTTGCTGCAGCTGGTCTCAAACTCCTGAGCTCAAGCAGTCCACCTGCCTTGGCCTCTCAGAGTGCTAGGATTACAGGCGTGAGCTACTATGCTCCACATCTTAGGTGTTTCTGATGCTCCTGGCTCAACAATACTTTGAAAATCACCGTTTTAGAACCTATGAAAACTAAGTTAATTTTAAAAAGCCTATTTTTTCTAGATAATAATACATGGTCAGAGTCAAGAGTGTATGAATTTCAGGAGTGATATCTATTTTTTATTTTTGAGACAGAGTCTCAAGCTGTCCCCCTGGGTAGAGTGCTCTGGCTTCACTGCTCACAGCAACCTCCAACTCCTGGGCTCAAGCGAGTCTCCTGTCTCAGCCTCCCAAGTAGCTGGGACCACAGGCGCCTGCCACAATGCCTGGCTATTTTTTTGGGTTGCAGCCATTATTGTTGTTTGGCGGGCTGGGCTGGATTCGAACCCGCCACCTTAGGTGTATGTGGCTGGCGCCTTAGCTGCTTGAGCCACAGGCACTGAGCCAGTGATATCTATTTTAATCTAAGTAAATAATTTTTAAACTTGCTTGTACCACATTGAAATTGATAAGACCCAGGCACATTGTCAGGTGTTGTCTATAGTCCTAGCTTCGCAGGAGGTTGAGCTGGGAGGATCATTTGAACCGAAGAGTTCTGGGCTGTAGTTTGCTATGCTGATCAGGTGTCTGTATTTTTTGGCATTGGTATGGTGACCTTCTGGAAGTTGAGGACCACCAAGTTACCTAAGGTGGTGTGGACTGGCCCAGATCACAAATAGAGCAGTTTAAAACTCCCTTGCTGATCAGCAGTGGGATTGCGCCTATGAATAGCCACTGCATTCCAGATTGGGCAACATAGCCAGACCTCCCAGTTTTGGCTAGGAAAATTGAAAGGTACTCCTATAGTTTCAAACTTGAAAGAAATTTAGATGCAAACATAGGTCACCTTATCTAGTAATTCTAACAAGAGATATTTTAAAATAAAATGAAAAATCTTCAGGTAGTAGGGTATCAAACTTAATGTTCATTTTATGACATGTTGGACAAATGTATAATCTTTCTTAAATGTCACTTTGTTTTCTGGGATCATTTATTTAGGCAACAGGTTGAATTAACTTCTGGCACTTCTTAAATCCTTCATGTGTTTTTTGTCTTAGGAAAATGAAGCTGTTTTTCTTTTGGATGATAAATTCATAAATGAAATTAATTTGCTATCAGGAAGGACAAAGAAGAAAATTCCTAGTCTGAAGCCTTTGTTGAAGGATGTTATTGTGCTAACCACATCCAGTAATGGTTAAGTTTAACTAATATTTTCACATTAACTGCATTTTTAATAACAGTTAGTTAGGAAAATATTAGATGTTAAGTATTGCATTTCCTTTCTGGAAACAGATGCCTGGCTAGGTGGGGTACTCACTACAGGAGAGCTTTTCCTTTGGAACAAAGATCAAGATTGTTTGAAAACTATACAAGTAACTGAAAAGCCTAAGGAAATGATTGAAGCTACAGTAGGTAGGAATTTTTTTTTTTTATTAAATCATAGCTGTGTACATTAATGCAATCATGGGGTATAGTGTGCTGGTTTTATATACAATTTGAAATATTTTCACCAAACTGGTTAACATAGCCTTCATGGCATTTTCTTAGTTATTGTGTTAAGACATTTATATTCTACATTTAGAAAGATTCACATGTACCCTTGTAAAATGGGCCATAGGTGTGGTCCCACCAATCCTTCCCTCCACCTATCCTCCCCCCGCCGGAATTTATTGTTTAAAGTAATTTAATAGGAGGAAAAGAGGATGAAAATTTTTTCTCTGTTGTCTTGAAAATACATCTTTTTGTGTTTCCATATATATATATATGTGTATATACATTCATATGTATTTCATTTTTTAGTAATATTTATCTGTGATAGCTACATTCAACTTGAAGAAGAAAATTCTGGCATTCCAAACATTTTTCTGATAATAATATGTTCTCTTTTTTTCTTTTTTTTTTTTGAGACAGAGTCTCACTTTGTCACCCTTGGTAGAGTGCCCTGGCATCACAGCTCATAGCAACCTCCAATTCTTGGGCTTAGGTGTACAGGTGCCCTCCATAACACCTGGCTATTTTTGTTGCAGTTGTTACTGCTGTTTTAGCTGGCCCAGGCTGGGTTTGAACTAGCCACCCTTGGTAACCAGCACCCTACCCACTGAGCCACTGGTGCTGCTCAACAATGTGTTTTTAATATCACGTAATAACTACTTGTCAAATGTTACTGTTATTTGTACTTTTTGTTGTTGTTACTTGTACTTTTATTACTAGTGCCTTAGTTTTGACATCCTAAATGGTAACATCATTTGGTTTCTTAACTGTAAGAATAGGCAAATCATGTACTTTCTTGGGGCAATTCAGACTTTAAATATTTAATTTTTTTTTCTTTTCATTTTTCTTTTTAGTAAATTCTTCAAGATTATACTTGTTTATTTCTGGAAATGCGAAAAGAATTCTGCTTGTAACACCTTCTGGATGCATATTTCTTTGGGAATATTTGGAATTAAAGAATATCTTATCTTCTAAAAGCCTTTCTTTGGTGGGTCAGTGGTCCCAGGTTATACCTGAAGAAACAGCTCTTTTGCCTTCCTCTGAAGATAAAGAAGCGGTAGTCAATGCTGTTTTTATAAAAAATGAGGTAAAATGTAAATCAGGGTATTATAGGAGTTGAAATCTCAGACTATAGGAACAGATACTATCTGTGAAGCTTTTTAGGAGAATGTGTAATGGCATAGCTATATATCTTTAGAAACCATTAATTGTCATAGAAATTATGAAATTATTGTATGGAAAAGATATTTTTATATTTCTTGGGTTACTTTTTCTTCTTTCTTTCTTTTTTTTTTTTTTGAGACAGAGTCTCATTATGTTGCTCTTGGTAGAGTACTATGGTGTCACAGCTCACAGCAAATCATGTACTTTCTCAAACTCTTGGGCTTAAGCAATTCTGTTGCCTTAGCCTCCCAAGTAGCTGGGACTACGGGTGCCCAGCACAATGCCTGGCTATTTTTTGGTTGTGGTTGTCATTGTTCTTGGGCAGGCCTGGGCTGGGTTCAAATCCACCAGCTCTGGATCCAATTAGCTGCTGAGCTACAGGCACTGAGCCTACTTTTTCTTTTTTTTATTAAGAGGTGGGGTCTCGCTCTGTCACTCAGACTGGAGTAAAGTAGCCTGATCACAGCTCACTACAGCCTCAAATACTTGGGCTCAAGTGATACCCCTTTCTGAGCCTCCCTAGCATTTAGGATTTTTAGCCCACACAGTGCCTAGCTAATTTAAAAAACTTTTTTGGTAGAGACAGAGTCTCGTGATGTTGCTCCAGAAAGACACCAAACTTTTGGCCTCAAGTGACCCTCCTACTTGAGCCTCCCAGAGTACTGTGATTTTAGGAATGAGCCTGGCCATTTGAGTCATATTTAAAAAAGATGTTTATTAGGCCAGGAGTGGCAGCTCATGACTGTAATTCTGGTTCTCTGGGAAGCCAAGGCAGGTGGATTATCTGAGCTCAGGAGTTCAAGATCAGCCTGAGCAAAACTGAGACTTTTGTTTCTACTAAAAATTAAACTAGCCAGGTATTGTGGCAGGCACCTGTAGTCCCAGCTACTCCGGAGGCTGAAGCAAGAGGACTGCTCAAGCCCAAGCATTTGGGTTGCTGTGAGCTATGATGCTATGGCACTCTCCCCAGGGTGACAGAGTAAGACTCTGTCTCCAAAAAAAAAAAAAAAAAAAAAATACAAGCAGAATCTCAATTTTCTTCATTTATTTATGATGAGGGATATGTTTTTTTTTTTT